CGTCGTGTACATATTTGATTTTCCTAAAGCATTAAAAAATGGTTCTGCAGTGCATTCTCTGAGGACTTCTATGCATATGGATTAGACAGTATGAGAAGAATACAATATGGGTAAAAAGTCAGTTAAATATATTGAACACCCACAAATTATTAATAGTTTGGTGTCAAAACGGGAGCAGCTATTGAATGCTGTTGGTAAGGAGCCAATACTGCTCCATACTTCCTATTAATAGCTCTGAGGATCTTATGACTAAGGCACTAATCAATCCACAGAAAATGCAGCTCTGGGAGAGATTACTAATGCCTTGGAAGACACTTAAAATTCCAGGATGATCTTGTTAAATTGACGAAACAAGCCGAAATCAATAGAGCAAGCACACAGGTGTTTCAACCACAGAATTCAGGAAGCCCTCAAACAGAAATCAAGACCATCCTGCCAGCCAAACACCCAGGTGGTAAAGCTAGCCAACTCCTGTTTTCCCTCCCCTCCCCCATCATGAAAAGGCTATCCAGACAGATGTCATGGAGCGTCTCTACACGGGGTTTAATTCTACTACCTACAGCTTCTCAACTCCTTCCTCCAGTGCCCTGCAATGAGGGGAGAGGGATGATGGCTTTGATGTGACTTGTGGAGCCCACACTAGTAAATTTGGACTTTGGAACACCGCCTTAGAAGCACGGAAAAAAGAAGCATTTGGAGGTTTGTAGGTAAGAGGAGAATGACTTTTTCCCAAGGAGTGTCCTAATGTCTTCCTGACATTTTAAAATGTGGTCACTAAAGAGAAAAGGCGCTGGGTGGAGAGGAAGATCAGATGTCTCGAACAACCTCTCATGTACCTGCCCAAACCCTGAAAAGCTAAGACTTCTTAAAACTTAAACCAATCTTTTCTTTCAACTACAAGGCTTTCCAATGGTCACCCTTAATGACACTACTGCCTTGCCCCCAGTTGGTCAGTCAGTAACCAAACCCTGCCTCGTTCACCTCCTAAGTGGTTCTCTGACCTGCACTCTCATCTCCATCCTCTCACCCACCACCTTACTTCAAGTCTTCATCATTGCTTGCCGAGGCTAACATAGAAGCCTCAGAGACCTCTCTATTACTTCAGACCCATCCTTCACCTGGTTACCAGTGATCCAGCGAAAAGGCGACCTTGAGGCTTTCCTGTTTAAAACTTTTCAGTACCTTCAGTACTGACAGAATGAGGTTCAAGTTTTCCAATGTGGCATATACATGTCTGCAGTGGTGTTCTACCAGAAGCACCATGAGCTTCCTGTGTGGGGCAGCTCTGGAACCTCAATGTCCGGGAGCTGCTGATAGCATCTTGTACCCGGGGTCAGGGATGCTACAAATCCTGCACTACCCAAGACAGCCCACACAATGAACCATCCCAGACTGCCACAAATGAGAAACTCTCCTCATGGCTACTGATTTCTTCACCAGCCTTCTAGCTTGCCCTTCTAGACTGTGGCTACACAAAACTCATCCCTAACACAGCCATGCTTTTTCTTGCCATTATACCTTAATTCTTGCTTTTAATTTCTGACACCTGGAATGACTCTCTTCTGACTCATCTTTTAAGCTTCAGCTTTCCAACTGCTACATGCTCTACACTCACCACTCTGCTTTATACCTGGTTCTCTCCTTCACTTGACTAAGGTCCTTCCAGGCAGAAATTGTATGTGCTTGGTAGACCTTATATAAACATAAAAATTTGAGGGATGGATAGATGGACGGATGACTGGGTGAGATCAAAGGTTTTTCAGAGGCTGATGCTCAGTCCATAATGTTGGCAACAAGTACAAGCATTGTTTTACAGCTGAGACAATAGTTGAGGTCAAAGTTTCAGCTCAGATCACCTGCCTTTACTTCCAAAATTCTATGCTGTACAGGTCACTCTCTGGCCTTAATCTTCATCCACTTTAAAAAGTGCCAGATGGCACCCTGAATGACGTTCCACTTACCCAAGCTGAAGACTGTGGGTCACAAACAGCCACTGGACAGGTACCTCTGTGTGGCGACTGTGTGGCGAGTCTTCTCAAGAACTCAGCAGTTTTGCTAGCACAATCCAAATAGGTGTTAGTGCCTTCATCAAAGTAGAACCATCATTATTTATTGTGCCTTTGGGTACTAGCCTAGACTTTTATTGGGGGCTGACCAAAAGTGTCCTAGGTAGAACAAAAGGTGAGTTTGCGGACACGGTAGAGTAGAAAATCAAAACAAAATGCTATTGCAAGACTGCATTCGTAGTTTGAAAAATGTAAAACTAGGTTTGTGGAATATGAACCTATGATTTCATTTTTTTCTGCTTCGTGTACTTTGACGTGGAGATAAATGTCCTCTCAGATTCCACAGTATGGGGCCCTAATTTCCTATCTGAACATTTAAAGCGTGACACTCAGACTTCACTGTAGAGCTGTGGAATATCCCTCCCCTACAACACCTCACTCCACACTGGTGTCATATTAGCCCTTCACCCTCCAGGGGTCTCTCTCCTAGTCATCTCACTGCCCTCGTGCTTTGACTACTCTCAGCATACACAGAGCTGCTAATCCATAACTCTTAACCATTTATGAGTCATGGACCCCTCTGGAATTCTGAAAGCAGAAATGGACCCTCTCCCTACACACACACACACACACACACACACACACACACACACACACACACACACACACACCTTTATACTTGATTTGTACCTTCCACGGAAGGTAAGAAGTGCTGCCAGTTCTGGTCTATATTTCTGGCATCTCTTTTTAGCTCTGAGAGATTGTGATAGATGGACCTAGATGAATCCTCTGTCTTAATAAGTTGCTTTTTCCTTAAAAATCCACCCCGTCATCCCAGTTCCTCCCCTCATGTATGTCAAGCATGAATATTGGAATTGTTTCCCAGTCCTTACTGTAACAACTGCCCCATTCTGCTTACCAGTGATGAATTTCTGTTCCTTTGTCCTTTCCCCATGTAATTTGTGGGATTTTGATCCCCTTACTCCATATTCACAATCAAATAGCTCAGCAAGGCCAGACTTATACTGCACCAGACCCTTGAAGCCTGCTCCCCTTCTGCTTCCTTCTTTGTCATCCCTCTGCTTACCCCTAATACTTTAGGCTGATGCTAAGATCCAATTTATCAAGCATTTAGGGCATGGGCATCAAAGGAGACACAAATGGTCTGGTAAAAATAAATGGTATCCAGTGGGGGGGGGAATCAAAAAAGGAATTAGAAGTTAAAGAGATGCCAGCATCACTTCAAATAATTACTTAGGTAGAACATGGCATTTGAACAAGGTCAGAAGCTTGAGCTGGGAAAGGAAGAGCTGAAAGTTAAGCGACAAATATAACCCTGAGAAACACAAGGCTTCAGCAGCTGAGACAAGCAGGCTTTCCATTTGTCTAAGATTGCTTATCTTGCCCAAAATAGACAAGGAGACTAATGAAGTCGCAGAGGCTGGAAGCTGCCCCATTGTCTGGGGCTTTATGAAGCCATCAGTCAAAAGTGCAAAAAGAGGGGCTTCCCTGGTGGCGCAGGGGTTGAGAGTCCGCCTGCCGATGCAGGGGACACGGGTTCGTGCCCCGGTCTGGGAGGATCCCACGTGCCGCGGAGCGGCTGGGCCCGTGGGCCATGGCCACTGAGCCTGCGCATCCGGAGCCTGTGCTCTGCAGCGGGAGAGGCCACAACAGTGAGAGGCCCCCGTACCGCAAATCCTCTAACAGCCCAAGTGCTTTTCCAGAAAGTACAGTAGTTAAGAAGAATCTCAAGCATGTGCATTGAATTTTGAGAAGGAACAGCAGAAGGGCTAAAGCAACCAAAAAAAAAAAAAAAAAAAAAAAAAAAAAGTGCAGAAAGAAGGGAATTGCCAGAAGTTTGGTTAAGATTCCTGAATATCCTTAGCTGAGAGCAGACCACGGGAGAAAGCAGTGAAAAAGAAGCACCATGATAATAAGAAGATAAGGAGCTTCAGACCAAGTAGGCTGGCAGCCCTGCATTGTGTTCCAACAGTTGCTTCTTACCTGCCAATGCCAAGCACTAAGCTGGCTGGGTTGCTAACCACCAGGCATGGCCTTTCTGCCAACTATCACTGCCCCACTCATGCCACAATCATAATGACAGGGCCACAGGACTGTCAGAGGCATACAAGTAGGGGCCTGTGAAGAATGGTGGATAACTCCCAAGTGATTAACTATACAAACAAGACAAGTTCCAAGTTACCAGGCTAAATGGCATTTTTCTACTATCAATACTGTAAGTTCCACACATTGGCTGAACTGGATTGGAATTCCTGTAGGTAATTATGGTCGTATTTAATAAAAACAAAATATATGAACCTCCTTGAGGGGCAAAAGGAGGAGGATCTACTGGACGGGAAATCCAACAAAACGAAGAACCCTGGACTCTAGCACCGAGTCACCTTTTCATTGGGGTTCTTTCTTTGTCACCACTGTGACTCTGCCACCTACTGAGGGGGGTGATCCTCTCCCACTTTATCACTTTGACCCAGGCATAAATACAGGATCCCTTCCTTTATTCTCCATAGAACAACTGAGGATGGACCACCAATAACAGACTGGTTTTGAAGATTTACTTAACTCATCTCCAACTTATGACACTTGTTCTTAGGCTGATGCCTATGGCTTATCCTAAAATGTCTCTTCAGGGTAGCATCACCTGGACATAATTCCATTGTAGCAGAGACTGCTAAATGTCCATGAAAATGGAAGTTCTCCGCTTCTAGTCATACAACCTGACTACATTTCCTAGCCTCCCTTACTGCTAAGGCTGGCCATGTGGTTGAGTTTTGACCAATGGAATGAGGAAGTGATACACACCACTTCCAGGATGAACTAATAATAAGTGTCCTACGCATGCACCTCCATACATTTTCCTCCTCCTTCTGGCTGTCTGGAATAGAGGCAAACCCCAGCACAAAGTTGGAAGTCGTTTGTGTATTGAAGGTGGTAGCACTGCTAACAGTTTTTGGTGCCTGAATATCTGAGTGGAGGGGGTCTCCTCTCAAACCTGTTTGCCCATGTCTTACATGAGAAAAAAATAATAATAATGCTCAAGCAACTATTTTGAGGTTTGTTGATCACAGCAATTAGCCAACCCTAGTAATACAACATAAATTTATATATACAAGAGAATTATCTCTCAACTTAGGTCATCAGTTCCACAAGTAGTACATAAGAAGAGGCCAAGAAGAGCTGAGGAAGAGTAGAAGAATAGAATTCTCAAGGATTAAGCTATAGGCATCTTAGTTATTTCAGAACCTTAGTCAGGGAAGGAGAATGTGGGAAAGGGGAGGAACCCACCCATCCTTAAGCTGTCCTGGTATCAGGTCTAGGAGCTGCCTAGGCCCAGAGTATAAAAACGTGTACTCATTTATCCCAGTAGTTTGAGGACAGGTAGGAGTTTGGAAGGAGAAACTGAGGGTGAGAAAGTCAGGGAAGGAAAGGGATATGGCTGGTTATATTGCAATATGATGGAATATTAATGTTAATGGAGATTCATCAATCAAAAAGTTTTTGACCTTTTTGAAAGGATAAAATATACGGGAAAGGCCACAGAGAGTGAAATGTGTGTCTGTTGGCTCATTTGAATAGGACAGAAATGCAAAGATAATTCCTATAAGACTTTTTAAAAAAAATAGTTAGAAAAGACAACTAGGGTTTCTAACGTTCATGGAAGAATCAGTTTACATGAAAAACAAACTTTTGGGGCTTCCCTGGTGGCGCAGTGGTTGGGAGTCCGCCTGCCGATGCAGGGGACACGGGTTCGTGCCCCGGTCCGGGAAGATCCCACATGCCGCGGAGCGGCTGGGCCCGTGGGCCATGGCCGCTGAGCCTGCGCGTCCGGAGCCTGTGCTCCGCAACGGGAGGGGCCACAGCAGTGAGAGGCCCGCGTACCGCGGGAGAGGCCACAACAGTGAGAGGCCCCCGTACTGCAAAAAAAAAAAAAAAAAAAAAAGAAAAACAAACTTTTGGATACCAAAGGGGAAGCGGGGAGAGGGAGAAATTGGGAGTATGGGATTAACAGATGCACAGTACCATATATAAAATAGACAAACAGCAAGGATTTTAAAAAAGAATACGCTTAAAAACATTCACTTAGATCTGTAGGAGCTTGTGAATCAGGCTCCTGCCACTAATCACACCCCAGGGCTACAAGGTGCTACGCACCTTCCTCTACCTTGTTACCCACCAGGTAACCGCCAACTTTGCACCGTGAAGAACACACTAATAGGGACTTTCCCTGGCAGTCCAGTGGTTAAGACTTTGCCTTCCAATGCAGGGGGTATGGGTTCGATCCTTAGTCAGGGAGCTAAGATCCCACATGCCTTGCGGCCAAAAAAACCAAAACATAAAACAGAAGCAATATTGTAACAAGTTCAATAAAGATTTTTAAAAAAAATAGTCCACATCAAAAAAAAAAAACATACTAATAAAAATGTTAAACTACCAAGTTTAAAGCTAAATAGTCATAATTTAAAAGGTGCCCTCACTGAAAAAATACCAGTGACAAATCTCTTCCTGGTTCTTTTTATCTTGCTGGGAGTGAATGGGGCAGTTTTTCCTTCTCCCACCTCCTGTCAGCTGACACACAAATGCCAATGACTGCAGGGTGCAGACAGTGATATAAATGAGTGAAGTGAAGTGGGCCTAGATAGAGGGAGGGCAACGGGAGCGCGATTCAGTGATATTCACAGTACATACCAAGAACTTACTAACCTAGTATATATACTAACCTAGTATAGTGCTTGACACATACCAGGTACATATTGTTGAATAAATGAAAGCACATTTCCTAATGTGAGATATTATCAATACATTTATTTATTATTATTATTATTATTTTTTTTTTTTTTTTTTTTTTGCGGTACCCGGGCCCCTCACTGTTGTGGCCTCTCCCGTTGCGACGCACAGGCTCCGGACGCGCAGGCTCAGCGGCCATGGCTCACGGGCCCAGCCGCTCCGCGGCACGTGGGATCTTCCCGGACTTTGGAGGAATTTTTTTTTTTTTTTTTTGCGGTACGCGGGCCTCTCACTGCTGTGGTGTCT